CCCCCACAACCCGACTCCGGAAAAACGGAAGAGAATGGATGGATGGAGACCAGATTAATGGGTAAAAACTATAAAGTGGAACTGCTAAAGAGTTTTAGTTGATAAATGGACATTTTAATTCACAACCCTGCTAAAATATAAATGAAAAAACAAACACCACAAAGTAAAAAGTCTTTTTTTCAAAGTGTGATGACACTCTGACCCTGAAGAACAACATACTCAAAATTCCTGGAGATAATTTGTTTCTTGCTTAATGGCACTTAGGCAGTACGTCAAACCTGCACCTTTAAGTCCTCATCAGCTTGTAAAATCCCACACGATGAATGCAGCGTTTCACATGAACACGACCAGTATTGATCCTCCTCCATCACCAATCAGTTTACACTCACACATAGGCTTTCAGGGAACGCTGGAGCGTTTTATCAAGCCAGTCCTGCTTTACTATGTCACCCTTTCCCAGAAAACAACGGGAATCTTTGAGAGCAGGAATGAAAACACTAGTTTTGTGTTTTGTTCTTTCTGGGGGGAAAACTCCAAAGTTTCAAGGACATTTTAAAACAGAACAGAGCTGCTGTAAAGGACTCGCTGCATCAGCGGCTTCAAAGCAGAAAAACCGTCAGCAGGGGGGTTGATTTTATGAGAAGCTATAAGAAAGAAACATCTGCCCATGTGAGGCGACTCGGAGCTGACTCACCGGACTGTCCGGTGAAGCTGCAGCAGACAGCCACAGTCAAATTATTGCTTTTTCAATTACAGAGCCGTCCAGCCATTTCTCTTCCGCATAATTAGTCAAATCCACAGACTGCCTGCGATTAAGTAGAAATACTAAAGGCCAACAAGACGTACGATCAATCTATTTTAGGATCACTGTGTTCTGTAGCTCTGGGTAAATCCTGTTAGGCTGCAGTGATGCAGGAAGATTATTCCTGAAAGCAACAGCTCTGATTCTGAGGGATTTTTATCATGCTGCAAGTGTTGGTTGTGTTTTTGTCCTGATTCATGTGCACAGCTCTGCATCAGAATAATCTAAAACAAAGATCAAGCTCCTCGGGAGGAAGGCGAAAGTAGATGGTTGTATGTCATTTATTGCTTCCCTTTAGGGCCTTTATCCACTTTTGTCAAACCTTGAGAACAGATGTTGTTCAAACCGGCTGAATTGTTGCTGGTTTGTGTTTGTTATAACGTTGATTAGGACAGATGTTTCCTAATCAGTTAAAGTTTAAATGTATGAAACAACGACTCAGCCACACCAAATCTTAGCATAATATCTACAAAGTTATACGATTTAGAGTCTGTGCTTGCTCATGTCGATTTGCAATGCCATATTGGATGCCATGTTTCCTCTACGGAAGGCCTTGAGGACTAAATGCATTTACTGATTTGTAACAAATGGCTACAAAACTTTCACCATTAATAAACATTATTGTTTTACACATTTACCTCTTCACTCGTTGCCACTGATGAAAGGGAGTCTGATGTTCTTGTTATTTTGCTGGGGGTTGCACTCCCAGGGATTTTTAAGCCTAATAGCCATTCGTTGGTATTGTCTTACTCAAACACAAATGTAATGCTTGCTTGCAATCATTTAGGTAATTACTGCCCCCTATCGCCTTGGAAAATACGCACTGTCACTTTAAATACTAAATACGGCCAAAAATAGGATAAAACAGCCAGAAGTCAAACAAAACCAAAGATCAGGACATGAAATAACTCGTTCCATACTACCCTGCTGGTTTCAGAGTAACGCCTGATTAATGCCTGATTAATGACTGATTAATGACTGATTAAGGCCTGATTAACGCTTGATTAATGACTGATTAATGACTACATCACCTCATCGGCTTGTCTTTTCTGAAAAAAATCTGTCAATAAACCACTTCCGGTGTGTTGAAGCAAAGAAACATTTAAAACAAGCAGATTCAATTCAAGTATCTTAACTTTAACACAAACCAGGTGTGGTCATTCCTAAATTACATCCATGTGTGTATGTGTGTATGTGTGTGTGTGTGTGTGTGTGTGTGTGTGTGTGTGTGTGGGAGGGGGGGGGGGGGGGGTGTTTGCGTTTCTAATGTGGGGGCGTTAGTGTTTCTAATGTGGTTTATTTATGGCTCATAAAAGCTCAGGACGCTTTCCTCCACAACGTTGGACGGGATTCACCAACACTAACGTGGATTTATGTACTGGCTGGAAGCGCTGCACTCAGGTAGGAACAGTAAATTTCTGATGATCAACAAAATATGGAATATTTAGCTAATTGACTTTTTAAATCTCTTTAACTCGTTAACGTTACTGGGGACCTTCTTTGTGTGTTTGAGGTCATGTAGAAGCTTGTTTTACCTGATTGGGCATCTGTTTTCAGATTAAATAAAAATAAATTAAACATGAAATTCCATCTCCATGAGGGTTTGTTAGCTGATCAGCGTGATCAAAAAACTAATTAGAAGTGTTTCAGCCTCTTAAACCCAGTCGCCTCCATTGATTGGGACTGACTCATCATGAGACACGCTTGTTGGATCTGAGTTAATCCACCTTTGCTTCGCCTGCCGTCATAAATGAAAACATGATTTGAAGTTTGGTGGTTTTTGTCATACCTTTGATGGTCTTTGCTTATCTTTTTATTCTGTGGATGGGTTTCTGTTGAAGCCACAGAAGCTCCTGTGTCTCTGCGTCTTATGGCAATGAAAATGTCGTACACGATTCCAGACTTGACTCCAATGATAACAGGATTCGTGGGTTTCCAACAGTAGAAACCAAACTGCATTTTCTTCCTCAGAAAGTTAAAGTTCGGATCCTGATATAAAAACAAACATGGAGCTTCCTGTTTTGTCTGGAGACGATGAAATTCACCAGTGAGTAAAGGGGAAATATTTCAGTCTGGGAATATTTACAGTCACTTTATTCCCTTTTGACGTCAGGATGGGAAAACTCTGCCTGAATGTTTTAAATCAGCTGATTTTGAGATGTTTTATAGGGAATTTTCTTTTAAAGTCATTAGTTCTGTGGAAATAAACCGTTTGTCATTGGGCTGTGTTGGCTGACCCGATTCTGCTTATCGCGTGGACATCAGGGGCAGTTCCACTGGCAGACCGGGATGGTGGTCCCCTTATTTAAAAAGGGGGACCGCAGGGTGTGTTCCAACTACAGGGGGGTCACACTCCTGAGCCTTCCTGGTAAGGTCTATTCAGGGGTTCTGGAGAGGGGGGTCCATCGGATTGTCGAACCTCAGATTGAGGAGGAGCAATGCGGTTTTCGTCCTGACCGTGGAACACTGGACCAGCTCTGTACCCTTAGGGGGATCCTGGAGGGTGCGTGGGAATTTGCCCACCCAGTCTACATGTGTTTGTGGATTTGGAGAAGGAGTTCCACCGCATCCCTGGGGGGCCCTGTGGGGGGTACTCCGGGAGTATGGGGTACCAGGCCGTCTGATACGGGCTGTTAGGTCCCTGTATGACCGGTGTCAGAGCTTGGTCCGCATTGCCGGCAGTAAGTCGGGCTCATTCCCAGTGAGAGTTGGACTTCGCCAAGGCTGCCCTTTGTCACCGATTCTGTTCATGACCTTTATGGACAGGATTTCTAGGCACAGCCAAGGTGTGGAGGGCATCTGTTTTGGTGGCCTGAGGATCAGGTCTCTGCATTTTGCAGATGATGTGGTCCTGTTGGCTTCATTTGAATGTGATCTTCAGCTTTCGCTGGAGCGGTTCACAGCCGAGTGTGAAGCAGCTGGGATGGGAATCAGCTCCTCTAAATCTGAGACCATGGTCTTGAATCAGAAAAGGGTAGAATGCCATCTCCGGGTCAGGGATGAGGTCCTGCCCCAAGTGGAGGAGTTTAAGTATCTCGGGGTCTTGTTCACAAGTGACGGAAAACTGGAGCATGAGATCGAGAGGCGGATTGGTGCTGCATCTGCAGTGATGCAGGCATTGTACCGGTCTGTCGTGGTGAAGAGAGAGCCGAGTCAGAAGGCGAAGCTCTCGATTTATCGGTCGATCTACGTTCCTACACTCACCTATGGTCATGAGCTTTGGGTAGTGACCGAAAGAACGAGATTGCGGATACAAGCGGCCGAAATGAGTTTTGGTGGCTGGGCTCTCCCTTAGATATAGGGTGAGAAGCTCAGTCATCTGGGAGGGGCTCAGACAAGACCTGCTGCTCCTCCACTTCAAAAGGAGATAGTTGAGGTGGCTTGGGCATCTGGTTAGGATGCTTCCTGGACCTGGTGAAGGGCCTGGTGAGGTTTTCCGGGCACATCCAATTGGGAGGAAACCTAAGGGGAGACCCAGGGCAAGTTGGAGGGACTATGTCCCTCATCTGGTCAGGGAATGCCTTGGGATTCCCCCCGAAGAGCTGGCCCAAGTGGCTGGGGAGAGGGAAGTCTGGGCCTCTCGACTTAAGCTGCTGGCCTCGCAACCTGACTCCGGATAAGCGGAAGAGAATAGATGGATAAACAGTTTTGTGTTCTCCTGTTGGCATCATTCATTTTGCGGTTGGATCAGCAGGGTCGCTACCATTTCTCAACACAAACAACCAGAGAGGCGTCATCTGAGCCTAGGACATTTTTGTGGCGTTTGGTAAAATTTTTTTCTTTTGCTTTTAGATTTTTTTTCCATTCCATCGTGTTTCCTCTTGGTTCTCCTTCTTTATCCAGCTCCTCACCTGTGTTTTGCCTGCTAATTACCTCACCTGGTCCATATTGAATAATCAGCCCTCCCTGTTAGTGTTCTGAGTTTCACCCACTGGTCCCGTCTCTGGAGTTTTCTTTGTCTTGTGATGGAGGAACACCTGAGCTCTCTCCCAGCATTGCCGGTCCGAGTTGCACTGCTCATGACAGACGGGCTGATGAATTTGATCATCATTTAAACTTCATAAGTTTTCAGAATCAGTTTGATCTGAGTCATGACTGCGATCTTCTGTGACGTTTTCAGTCTAAATGCGCTAAAACACCAGGTGGATTCGCTCATCCATCATTTTTGTGATTCATCAATAAAGAAAATAAAACCTTCCTACAGTAAACATCCCGTGTGCGCGTGCGTGTGTACGTGACTATGCATCTCGAGTTCTCGTGAGCGCGCCTGCTCGCATCTCTCCCAGCTGACACGCGTGTTTTCCTCCCCCAATCCATGTGGGCTGCGTTTCCGCGCGTGCGTGCGCGCGTCGGTGCTGATGAGAGCTCGAGCTGCTGCTTCTCCGCTTCTTCAGAACAGGATCAGTATCGACCTCCTTCTTCACGCAGCGCCTCCTCCTCTTCCTCCCACCCGGCGCCGCTTCCTCTGCAGGTGGATGGAGGCTGGAAGCCCCGGAGACTCGCACCACAATGCACCGGAACCGCTGCCGGTTCGGTTCGGAGCGGCTGGTTGAGGAGCTGCTTTAATTCAAGGTGTGATGATGCTCGGCTTTGTGCCTCGTGCGTGCATGTGCGCGAGCGCATGAGGAGTTGCTGGTTTTATTTTCTGCTGGTTTCTGATCAGACTCCGAGTTTCAGTAGAAACCCTCTGGTTCGGCTCCGAATCCCCTTGGTTCCGGCCCGAACCTCCTGGTTCGGCTCGGAGGCGCAGCAGTGAGTTGTGGGACTTTGTGATGATCTCACCGTGCCGCTCCGGAGGTTTGGGCGTGTTTTACGCACAGCTCTGATTCGTTTCATGGCGGATTTCTGCCTTTTCCTCTAAGATGTTGATGTTTTTTTATTTATAGTTTATTAAAGATGTATAACGCTCCATGTCTGTCCCTCTCCCCGCACCCCCACCTCCCCCATGTCTCCCCCATCAGATCGCCCAGCATCTCCCTTCGCTCCGGGGAACGCATCCTTAAATGACCCGCGTCTAAACACTGGGTGTCTCCGGATCCAGCACCCGGATCATGGCATGCTGCCCATCCCGGGCACTCAGCAGTGACCATGGGGCTCCGGTCCAGGACCGTCGCTAGCGGCTCTGAGGAGCAGAAGAAGACCGCTCTTGGGGATTTGCTGGACCAGGGCAGCGGCGGGGTGGATAAGGATGGCGCGCTGCTGCTGGTGGGACCGGGTCGGGAGGACTTTAAGCGCGGCGCTCAGGGTATCGGGATCGGGCTGCTGGCCAAGACCCCCCTGAGCTACACCCGGCCGGTGAAGAGGAATAACATCCGCAAGAGGAAGGTCCAGAACCTGATCTACGACGCGCTGGAGAGGCCTAGAGGATGGGCGCTGCTCTACCACGCCTTCGTGTGAGTACCTGCAGGTTCTCCTATGTTCTCTGATGTTCCTCCTGCAGCTGCAGGCTGGTTATGAAACCAAACAGCTGCTTGATGTTGTGAAGGAGGCTTCAGCTCCACTGAGTTCTGCAGAGAAGCTTCTAAAACTTTAAACCACTTCAACCCACTGGGTTACATAACTGATGCAGAGTGTTCTGGTGCACTCGGTTCTGAGTGGAGTTTGGTCCTGATGGGGCTGGTTTTAGCTCTGAGGTCATGCTCCATCAGGTGTTTGGGTCAGGTGGATGAATCAGGTCCAGGTTTCAGCTCTGATTCCAGTAAGGCAGCAGGTGATTACAGTGTGATTGTGCATGAATGTGAGCTGAGTGGACCTGCAGTTTGAAGCTGTAATTAATATTCTCGTCTGGATCTCAGAGCTACTGACCTTTCTGAGCCTGGCTCGGTTCAGCTCTGCTGCTCCAAATGTTTAAAATGTCCATCTGTCAGAAGGACAGCCGATACGCAGCAGGGAATTACCTTTTTGTTTCAGCTGTGGAAGATATTCACAGCAGCAGCATTTAAACACGTTACAGGAGCTAGTGGGGCGAGGATTACGAGCAGAAACGTTTTGGAGATAAACTCACCGACACGAGGAGGTGGACAGTCTGACAGCCAGAAAACAAAGACAGGAACCTTTCATTTGACAGCTTCCCGATTAAAGTGGGACGTTTCTGCTCTCGGCAGACACCACAGGAGAAAATCATTTTAGCGAGACTCCAGCGGGGTCTTGATTATACATTTATTAATTTACTCAGTGGTTTTGTTTGTGTTCAGGAGCCTGAGAGTGTTTCAGAAAGTCCCTGACTCCATGTTGAATGTTGCTGCTCTGGCCTTTACCTGCTCAAGGTGTTCCACGCTCATCAGACATTAAAGACGATCAACAGAGAAGAGCCACAGAGCGAAGTCATGGCTTCTTTAGCTGAAGATACTAGATTTTCACTCATAATCAGACCAAACGCTTACAACACTTTTTCATCTTATCTAGAAACATTACTTATTTTCTTTAGTAACTAAATATCTGAAGTTGTTTACTCACCCTCGTGTTGTCTGAAACACGACTGAGCTGCATTCAAGAAGTCTGATATTTTGAACGGATCCATTTTTGAGGCTGAAGAGAATCATGAAAGTTCGTGTTCCTGTAGAGATGCCATAGAAACCTAGCTGCAGAGCAGCAGTAAGGAAATCCAGCCAGCCTAAACGTCATACAAGCTACTTCCTGCTGTTAGCTTCCAGATTCAGAACCCTTAAGAAACTGTCAAACAAATAATTATTATTATCTCTTTCAGATAAATATTTTCCAAAACCGACGCATTTGGCTGTAGGAAAAATTTGTATCGGCCCACAAATCTAGAATCAGACACCTGTAGTTTCTAAGGAATTTGGAACTTCCTCATGACATTATCACAAGGACTCATAGCTCAGATACCGGCGTTAAAAGATTTAACAGCCTAAACTAGTCGAGACGAAACAACCAAAAGGATGAACCGTTGAACAGGAAATAAAACTCAAGTAAACTCCAACAGAAAACCTGACAAAACCAGATCCAGACAAAAGGTCTGGATGGGTCTGGAGTTAGATAGAACCCGTGCAGAACCTTTTGACTGGATCATTGTAAAGTTTAAATCCAGTGTCTCTTTGCTGAACTTTGTGCCAAACTTCTGACTTCACATCCAGTCAGAAACGGGTTCACAGAACCTAGCTCCATGGGTTTGGGTCCTGTCTAAGTCCTGGATTCAGTTTTATCTCCAACATCAGCACGAAGTAGAGTTAGCTCCCCTCGGGAGGCCACGCTGAAAGGGAATTTCAGGTCAGTCTTAAATCTGCATCCACCATCCCAAAATTCTGGTTTCCATGACAACACGGCAGAGAGGGAGAGATAATTTAGATCTCGAACTGAGGCCGAGAGCCGGGTGTGTGAAGGCAGAGTGATGGAAAACACAGGAGATCTGCAACATCAGCAGTTTGTTTGGCAGATCGCTGGTGATCCTTGGCCTCTTCCTGCCATCCGGACGAGACTGACAGCGGCACCGCGTCCCCGGATTGCAACACGCTGTAAATCACCTCTTTGCCTCTTTTATAACTGAGTTTTGCAGAGCTCCATTTCTTCTCCGTGATCCCGTTTCTTCATTCAAAAGAGAAAGCTTGGTAAAAAAGAATGGCGGCGGGTTAAATCTAAAAAACCCAGTTCAGCTCACGTCGTCCCACGATACCGATGATATTGTGAAACTACGATAAAAGACAAAAATCCTTTCTTTTTTCTTCAAATATCTATTTAACAGACTTAAAGCACCTAATTTTTAAAGTTTTGGTTCCAGAGCATCAGTTTTCTGGTTCGTCTGGTAGGATGGGAATGTAAACGGAAGGACCGAACATTTATTCGTCCTCCACAGAAAAACAAATGAATATTGATCTTTGATATATGATGCGAAGTCTAAATGGTTCTACTCATATTATCAGAGTTTAAATTATTGATGGTTTAATGGCTGCACTGAGCCTTTTATATAAAGATGGAAAGTTTTAAAACTTCAAAAACGACTTTTCAGCGTCGAATCCACGAATCAGGCCTGGAATAAACCCGCCCAGCTGTTTGTTTGTTTCTGATTAACTCGGCCCAAAGGGGAGGCGTTTACTGGCAGTTGATAAAATAGGAATTTTCACGCTCTAGGACCAAACACAAAGCTGCGGGACTGATTTAACCGACTCCTTCTGTAGAAGAGTTTTATTATTTGAAGCTGTTTATGTTTTACTGGTTTGTTGGTTTGGCTCAGCGTTCCCTAATGGTCCCTGTGGTTGTGGTCATTTAGCGTAATGACATTCATCTTCCACAAATGACACTCCGATGGGAGAGTCACTCAGCTTGGACAGAAATCTAAAGACCAGACTTCATTAATGGGAATTTAGTCACATCTAGAGTCAGATGGCAGTAAATAAAGCCGGTCCTTAATGCAATTTATTTAGAGGAGGGCTGTAGGGGTTAAAATAGAAAATTCCTGTTTTCTTTATATAGAAAAGGCTAAATCTTTAGGTCAGTGGAGGTAAATATAGACACAAGGAATAAATGAATATAAAAATCTCACTTTTCCTTTAGAACCTAACCCGAGTCAGGTTCGAGACGCCCCGCAGCGACTCGGCGTCTTGCCGGGGAGAAAATGTTCATATTTATAATACATCGGCAGTGTTCTCTGGTGGGACTGAATGCCTGATAAGACGTTCTCTGGGGGAAACAAAGCTCTAGTGCACCTGTCTCAGCACAGATAATTTAGCCAGGGGAGAAAGTGGCTTCAGACGACAGGATCTGGAGTCTTATTTCCTGATATGTGGACATCTCTCCTCTAATTGGCTAACAGCAACACAACTCTACCACTGACTGTTAGCTCTGCAACTCTGATGTTTTATCTTTTATCGGCCCAGTGAGAAACTGGATTCTGAAACTGTTCAGGAAAATCAGAAACAAGGAAGCGTTTGATTTGGTTTTGGTTCTTTTCATCCAATTTTGGAGAGGAAGCTGAAAACCTCCATTCTCAACTTCCAACTCATGGAGAGTTTTAGTTTAAATCACTTCAAAGATGAGCCGATGGGACTGACTTGGTGGAGGTTTAAGTCTGAGATCAGAACTCAGAACGGTCTCAGAGGAGTGAAGCTAGAGGGTCTGATGGGGAAACGTCTCCAGGCAGGAAGAACTCCCCTCAAACAGCTGCTTCAGTCCTGAATCCCTGGTTTTCTGTTAATAACCCAGGTGAGTCGGAGGGACAGGAACACAAAGATCTGATGAATCTTCAGCAGAGGACTTTAACACCAACAAAACCCTCCTGGCCTTTTATCTATCTACTTTCCTAACTCCATCACCCTACCTGCTGCAGAAGGATCCAGATGATGAATCCGCGTTGTTAATTCCTCTACATCGATAATGGAGATTTCTTCAGATATTCCAGGCATTCCTCTGCTCTGCTGGATTCTCCTACAGCTCCTGACCTGACCCAATGAGAGGACCGGCTGTCAGAAAGCACTTTCCGCTGCAGGAAAAATGGCTTCCATGATGGTGGAGCAAGAGGTCATCATGGACATAATGAAGCCCCTGGGTGTTATTTAAGGTATAGAGCGGTGGGGAATCCCAGGAGTTCGTGTCCTGGTGGATTTTTCCCCTGGAAGACGCAGGTTGTTGGGACTCTGGGATCGGAGGAACCTTCAGGAATCGATGAGCGTGGATTTATTGTGACAAAGCTCCTGAATCACTGCTGCTGAGTGTCTGTGGTCTGATCCAGACCAGGATCTGATCCTATACCAGCTGCCTGAAGCCAGCTATGCCTCACAATCAGTTCCATCGACACTCCGGTTGTTTCCGGTTCTGTGGCGCTCCCGTTGGGACTCTCTTTGCTGCCTTCCACCCGAGTGTGATTACACTAAACACTGGAGCAAATTAGGTTGTCCTGCTCTTATCAGCGTGTGTGTTCTCCTCTCCTCAATCCAACCGCCTTCATCGTTTTCCTCCTCGCTGAATTCAGACGGTTGTAATGCTCGTGGCGCCCGGAGGCTCCGGGTCTCGTCCCCCCTCTGGGAGACCGGCTGTTTTAAAACTCGGCTCTACGTCCGGTTCTGCTGCAGAATGCCTCGATTGTTGGTTTAGAGTCACGGATGTTTTTATGTGACAAAAACTTCAAGACGTTTATTTTTTAAAACCCAATCTAGTCAAGATTTTTCACAACATTTCACTTTATTGTTTGATTTCTTTTAGACAAAAATCTGCCAGATTAGTGAAATCTGAGCATTAATGATGAAGCACTTTTAACAGAAACATTTCTTCTAATGTTAGTTTAAAATATTTTTCTTTGCACTTTTCTGGTTGTGTTTTCCTTCGGTGGCCCAGAAGCTTCTATGAAGTACGTAAGCTATGAAACAGTGTCATGAGCTACAGTAGGCGTGTATGAGGTTCCGAATGTGCCAAAAATGTGTCTATGTATTTCTGTGCGTGTCTA